AATAAATTAATCAAATACCGTATATAAATCGAATACAACTATCGTCAACCTAATAGAGGATAACGGAAAACATCCATTTTTATTTAGTTATGGACAGATAATAGTCTCTTGAACCAAATTACACAATATATCTGTGATGTAATCATGATAAAATAATATTATGAATATAGTTTCCAAATTGCATTCTTTCATTCCATGATGGATTAATTTTAATAGCAAATAATGCTAATCTGGAATCATAGTAATCAAAATGATTTTTTTAGAATCTCCTGCTAATATATTGTCGAAAATACAGACTTATATAATATGAAGAGTGCTATCAATAAAAATAAAATTTTTAACCTTATTATAAAACAGGATACTATATCATAATAGTAATTTAGTCATTGCACTGGCAGTATTAGCGTAAACGATCACAAAGATGATAAAATTAAGAGTAAATAGGCTAACTAAAATAGAAATCAATGTAAATTAAATCATTACAATTGCTGATTTCGTAATTAAAGAAGATGCGTTTTATCAATGACAATGTTTAATGATGTACTTCCATGTTGTCGAACAAGGATTAGACCATCGATGATTTAAATAAATGTCAATAACTCCCTTCAAGTAACTACAATTGATATCATTTAACTGATTAGTTTATATCGAACAATTAACCCAGATGGTTTATTTGAATATTGTTTATTGCAATGACGTCAGAATGATACAATTCCAAGAATGATGGAGTACGACAGCTCAGAGAAAAATGAGGCAATAATGAGAGCAGGAGCGGATAGTTATTATGATTGAAATCCATGGTTAAATAGGCATAGCTATCGTCGATTTGTTCTCCACTTCATTGTTAGATTGAGTAAATTAATTATAGAAATCTTTCAAGGAAAAATTTCAACCATTTCTTATTTAACTAAACCCATTCTTTCACTATCGTGTTCAAATTATCCGCCCTGGGGAATAATCGCAAACTATCAGCACAATCACAATATATAATTGCCGTGATAGTACAACGATTTTGTATAGAAGCTAGAAATGAGTTTTATTTCTTGCTCTTAAACATTATAATGCGAAAACGATTACTATAATAAGGAAAATCCTTACATCCAAAAACCTCTTACGGTTATCAATTATTAGTTACTGGTGCTAACTCCTTTTTCAACCTTGATGAAATTTATTCTTATGTTTAAGATAAACTTTAAATATATCGAAGCATATGCTTGGTTTTATATTGCCTTTTTCTAAGCACATAAAAATGAGATATATAACTGCACCTCCGCTATCGACAGCTATCCTGAATGGTTAAACTAAATTCTTACATTACAATAGTTATAAATTAAAGTAAAAATCTTATTTTGTTTTAGAAGAAAAAGTTAATTATGCAGTAAATGATTAAACAGCAAACCTTCCAACTAATTTATTTAAATTAATTTCATCATTGTTCTCCGATCTTACCTCAATTTTTGCGGATGGAGTTAATTAAACTTACTGTAAAGCCTTAGATTAAGGCTGTCATCTATCATGTTGAGCGACGCTACGAAGTTAAATAAATGTTTCCTTTTCGATTCCAATTTATCCTAAGCTACGCATATAAATTTACAGGAATGTCAATTTAGAGATGATCTAAAGATCAACTTTAATTTATTACCACTTAAACTTGTTTGCTTTAGATAGAAGCAAAGAAATTAAATTTTTTAAACTTTTATAAGCAGAGCTGCTAGGCTTTTTCAATTATAATAATCTAACTTAAATTTTTATTACCTAACGCATTTACTTTTAAAAGAAATACAGATATTTCGGTGGCAGTAGGTAGGTTAGTTTAATTAAAACGGGAAATATAGTACTGGTTAACGCTTAGTCTAAAGACTTAGAATTTAACTTAACCCAATGTAGGTTAATATTTCTTTCATCTTTAATGTATAAACTATAGTTATGAATACATGAATATCCATTATGTACAACTTTTCAATAATCTTAACGATCGTAACTATGAATTAATTTTAATCAAATTTAAAAGTTTTATTGCAAATTACGCTAATTTCAGATACGATTAATGCCCTGATTATGGAAAATAAAACAAAAATAATTCTAGGAGCAGTTATTGTTCTATTACATTGTCATAGCAAGGAAAGTGTCTCATGGTAGTTAGCCAAGGTAGACTCAATTAAATCTGATAAAATTAACTTATAACAGGCCGTATCTAATATCTTTTTTTATAAATTAAATGATTAGCAAAACTAAATATTTGTAATTAAATTACCATTAACGTCATCTGTTATGCTAAAATTATTTACTCATGTAATCAATGCTCAAATTTTTTATGAATCTTCACGTTGCAAAGATCTCTGATCCTTATTCTCAGACCTTGATTGGAGCGCCAATAATTAAGTGAGGAGAATTGAAATATAATTTTATTCCAGTCGTAAAATTGGAAAGCTGATTAGTGATTTCAATTAAGAATAATAACAAACAGAAGACAGGTGATCACCTTCGATGTATTACTTAGCATTGTTCGTAATGTATGAACATGATGACAATGTATTTCTGAATAATAACTCAAGGGTTAGAGCGTTGATATTGTTAGTATATATAGATTGGTAGTACTTCTACTAAAGCTACCATTAATCGATTAGAAACAGAGTAGTATTCTTTTGATTTCATTTGTATATTTAACTATATTGTTATTTAAAATTATAAGAGCAGACATGAACAACTGCAATGACAGATATTGATGGAAAAGTATTACAAGAACATTATATTTATCAAACTTTTTTATTTTATCCTGAATAAATATGTGAAAAATAAATTTTATTGTCAGATATTTGTAATTTTCAAGTGGCCTATACATTACAATATGGGTTGCCTGTCAGTTGATGTAAAAGTGTGATCAAGTTATGCAGTTGTAAATTACCTCTGATTTTTACTAAAAGCTGCTTTAATAGAATTTGAACACTCTTAAAAAACAAGCTGAAAGCCTATACTATACAGGACTGAAGCTGAAACGACTCTTTTACCTAAATTTAGGCATAATGTCTTTGAAAAGGAGCGACGAAATATCTAATGATTATAATGCACGCGTTGTTATAATTTAGATATTTTTCACTTTCTTTTTTATAATAAAATCAATAATGAGGCATTAATACTGCCTTTCTATTATACCATGCACTTCCTTGATTGCAAACTCATTTGAATATAAAGAAAGAATACCATATGGTTGCTCTTCTAAGCTAAGATCCTTTAATGATTATAATGGTATCCTTCTTCAAAAAAAAAGGCAGCTGATTAAATCACTCTTACGTTCATAATAGTGGCACCAATTTAATTCTCATTGCTGATGCCATATCCAACTAAACTAATGTTATAGAATATGGATAAATTTAGCTCTAATAAATACGATAAAACTAATGTTTTTAACAGAAGAAACGTACTCTGTGCTATTCTCGTTTCGAAATTTATCTTATTAATCATGTTAATAGTTGACTTTTTCATTATCATTGGTCATAATTTTACTAGTATCTCATTCTAATTTGGAACTAAATTATCTGCCAGTAACAAAATATTATTTATAGTTAATTTGCTATATAGATCACTGCCATCCATAATTCTTATACTCTTCAAAAAGGAATAATTTTAAAAATTGAATGTTCATTCCATAACTTTGATTGATAGTCTGATGCTTTCTGTGATAATTGTAAAGCCTATAGTAGCTTTTTGTGCCATTCAGTAGTAAATGCGAGTAGATTTCACTAATCAAACTACTTTGATCTCAAACTCTAATATCGTATGAAAATGAATTCAATGGCGATCATATACGTTATGTCAATTATTATCTTTTTAGCTAGAAAAACCGGATGTAGTTAAGTATAAATCACTTTGATCGATTATTTTGAAGTACTCAAATTTTGATATCTTTCTTTACTAAATTGAGATCATTACAATCTAATTAAGAAAGAGATTGATAGATGCCAAATTCCGTTAACCAATTTTAACATTTAATCTTGTTCAACATACGTACAGAGTATACATGCATACATACGGGCCTACATTTTCATATATTTATATATATATAACATATTTATATATGTGCATTTATATACACATACATATACAATACATCTAGTTATAGATATATATTACTTGAATCTGTAAGCTTCATATTTATATGCACATATATATGTAAGATTAGATTTAGATAATAGAATCATCTTATATAATATCATGAATTATATCCTCGACCTAATATCTACTAATTAAAGAAAAATCAGCAAAGCAACTACGTATGAGTTGGAGAATATTCAGTTGATCAATCCGTTTCTATTGCCGTAGGCAATAGAAATACTTATTAAATATGAAATAATTCGAACATCGCGTAGAATGTATTCAGGAGATGGGAATAAATAATGTCGTTTTCCTACCATGACAACTCAATGATAGCTAATACATATTGCAGTATATAATTTAGTATTATTATTATCATCATTATAAGACGTAGCATTTTTGGAATAAAACGAATGATAAGTTGTTCATTTTTAAAATATCAAATTTAAAAGTGCAACGGTCATTAGCTGATTATAAATACAATCCTTACCATGAAATTTAGTTATACTCGTATTTAAAGAACGATTAAGATGATGATTCCTCAAAATAATAATGTCAAATGTAAGTTTAGAAACTTTCAGCTTACGAATAATTTTAATCAAATATGAGATCAAAATACTAGAGGTTTTGTACCAAGCTATATATATCCTGTTATAACAAATAAAAAAATTTTTACTTTCTGCTCTATATGAGGATATTATAACTTATATTTTTAAATAGTTCAGCTACTGAAGGCAAAATTTTTAAGATTTCAATTTAGATCACAAATAAGTAGTTAAAAATGGAGTTAATATGCGAGGTATCATATCTCTTAATTTCACAAAGTTGCACATCGAATGACGAGAATAAAATCGACATGAAATAATAAGGTGGACGAAATATTCGTATATAATAACAATGATTAAAATTTAATCTTTACTTTCATCCATATTAATTGAGTAATCGCTTTCGCCTCCACTAATGGGCAGATTACCATTATTTTTATTCCTTTTCCATTTCATGCGACGATTTTGAAACCAAATTTTGACTTGCGTCTCATTTAACATCAACATCTTAGCTACTTCAAGGCGACGCGATCGCGAAAGGTACCTGTTTTTCTTAAACTCCTCTTCTAATGTTAGCAATTGTTCACAGGTAAATGCGGTCCGTGGTCGACGTTTAACTAAACCATGGCGAGCAATTAATCGCTTGTGAGCTAAGTGATGAGAATTACCTGTCATCGCATCTAAAGATGGAATCGCGTTAGGTAAATGACCAACTGCAACAGCAGCGGCAGCTGCAGCCGCTACTGCATTGTTGTTGTTGTCGCGTGGATGACGAGCTAAGTAGGGCCACGTTAGCGACTGAAAAGGATATGGCATCGGAGATTGGAGTTGCATCAGCGGTAAATGAAGTGGACGTCCTCCTGTAGGATATAAAGTCGTTGGCATCATGGTATACAAATGATAATGATCAATATTTTCAAGAATAATTCTCAAAAGATAAATAGGAAATTAGCGCGTCTCAAACTGTTAACGACTAATCAAGATGTGATCAATGGCAATCGAAGGCGATAAATGAATCAACGATGCTGACTGTCAATGCCTTAAATCGTATCGTTTCGTAGCTGACTAAAATGCTAAATATAGAAGATTGTTTTTCAATTTTCAAAATATCAAAACAATCTTCTTTTTATCGAAGTTATTTTGCCGTGATAATCTATTGATTAGCTTTGCTATTGATTAGAATATAATAGGTCCAAGATAAGATAACAACTTTTCAGTGAATAAATAAATTAGATAGATTGTACAACAATCGATAATTATTAAAGAATAACATTGCTTTCAGTCCAGTTTTATTAACTCATTTTCATCTTTACGGAACTGCTAGTAAATGAGAAGATATCAATGGCCTCGTCGTGTTGATGATTTATTTCACTGATTGCTTATCATTATATTTATAATTTATATTAGGTTTACGCTCTGTTAGTTAATAGGATACGCATGGAATGTTCATAGAATATTGAAAGGCAATTTATCCCTTCATGGTTTTATATCATCATAAATAGAAGAAAGTATTGATTCAAGAGAATATCATTTCGTACTGTATTCCAATGTAATAAGAAAATAATGTAGAAATTTCTTTATATCTAGTGATAGGCAACTACGAATATTGTTTTTTTTATATTTGTTGATGATTGCAGTGAATCAAATCGGTTATAGTATACTATACGATATTGAGACAAAAACATGAACTATAAGAAGGCATATTTTAGCCGAAATATCAAATAGATTAACTTTAAAGTGCTGCACTAAATCTTAGTTCTGGGAATGACCTTAACACCCGGTATAAATAGAAAGAATTGTTAACTTATCCAATTTGATCAGGTAATGTAAATAGAAATAGCAAGTTATAATATTGAATTCGTCTCAGTGATGATATATTATTAAATTAGTGGTCAGAGTTAAACACTTAACGGAAATTAAAAATTGATCGTGCTCAAGCACGGTAATCGACGTAAAAAATGCCGTCACGAAATAACAAATAAAATATTTAGGCGTTAGGTCATCAATTGCAATTGCATTTCATTAACAAAATATTGCTATCAATAAAAACTGATGCAAATTCAAATCATTTTCTATATTAATTGCTTAACATACAAATAAATTAATTATTTTCCTCTTAACAATAACTTGCCGGAGATGATATAATAATATAAGTGAATTTACCCGACGTTGCACAATTTTGCCGAACGGTAATTAACAACATTCCATTAAAAATGAATAAGAAAATACGGGTATTTTGTATCGGAAATATTATACAAGCCCATAATGACAGCCTAATATACTAATATCATTACTTCCTAGTTTAACGCTCCAGGCTAACAACTATTTGTATCACTATTAAATTAATTGAGAATCAATGCATAATAAAAGATTGTTATGCAATCATCTAGAACAAAAATATCTCCAGGCTCTTATAATTAATTGGCAACGGTCTCGTACATTCCCTAACCTATTATATAGCATAAAAGCGAGAATTGTACATGCATCTATGAAAGCTAGTACGCGGACTATTCACATTCTCAAATTTTACCATTCATTAATCATTATACAACAAGTAATTGTTGAATGTAAAAAAATGCTTACAAATCATCAACTGTAGAATACGTTTACAATATAATATAACATACCAACAACATGGACTACCTTGTTGTTACGCATGATAAGTTTTAAGATTAAATATTATTCCTCAATTTCACTCACTCATGCCCTTATCATGATTTTTATTTTTATGTACTAAATCGTATGCATTTAATTTTATCAGAAAACATATTGTGCAATTATTATTAAGTCATTGATCTCTAATGGACCGTGATTTATATCAATTGCTGCATGAAATTAAGATAATTAGACAACATATCAGTAGTTGATAACGATCGATCAAAGTCATTAATGATAAATTAGAGATTAATATAGTCATGCTCTTTCTAATGCCATTTTGTACATGCGACTATAAGCTACTTTAGTAGACGATTATGGTAAATTTTAAAATTGTGCCTTCCCTGAGTTGGACTCTTCAATATGTTTAATATGAAGCTGATTTAATCCTATGGAAACTGCTTAATAAAAAAATGATCGCTATAAGGGGCTTTAGCGATGAAATACAAAATCTTTATGATTTTTGACGGTATCTATTGAATATGATGGTGGATAAAATCTGAGCTAATATCATAATATCATGTCATATTCATCTGGCCCCCTCCATCAAACAGAATTTTGTATATGAATACTCCATAGTGCATAATCTATTCATAATTTAAATAATTTTATACGTATATTTACCAGATTTTCTAATCTTAAACGAATATCATTACATGTTATGATAGCATCACCATTATTATTATTCTATGCTACAACAGAACAACTATGAAATTAAATGATCAATCCATGTACTAATAGCTGGATTCAATGCCCTTTAAAAATAGTTTTTGTTCGATAACGTTTACAAGATTTCAATCTAAATTAAAATGCAAATAATACGAATTCAATAGATTATAGTTAAAACTACAAGTGATCTCCATCATTTAGTATCTATTGAATGACAATAAACAAAAATTTGTAGAACAGAAAATTAAAAATTCTAGTTCAAGATACTAATGTAAATCAAATAATATTTTACAGACTCATTGATGATTCTTTTGCAATACTGTATAGCATTGGTATTCATGACTAGTTTTAGACATTGCAAAAGTTCGCGTTGCTAATTTTATATTATTTAAAACCAACGTAAACCATACAACATCATTTTCCCAATCACAATTGTATTTGCATAAAAAATAATTATAATAAACTAATTAGCTATTTCCATCAGAACCCATAGCTTTACTACTGAAAATAAATAATATTTCAAACTCCACCGTATTGGAGAAGCATCTTCTAAATTTTCTAACAGTATATTACTATTAAGAATAATAGACTAATTGAAGCATCTATTGCTTAATTTATTTAGCAAATATCGACTGGCAATGTGCAATCTGAGCCATTCAAACAATTTATACTATTGAAGTGGATTGTCAGCGGAAACAATAACAAATATAAAAAGACCGCAGTTAGATAGCATAAGCCTACCGTTATTTGCTAGTGAAAATTATTTAATCAATACTATTACTTATTTTCTAGGTCATTTCTAGCTTTAGTAATTGAAGTGTTTAGTATCCTTAAGGTAATTTTAACGAGATACTATCTAAATTACTGTATTAATATATGCATACGAATAATAATCCGCACTGGATGTTTGGAATTACGAATAACTGACTTTCATCCGAATAAAATTGGACAATCTTCATAAAATTTGATTAAACATGCTTATAAAGCTAGGCAACAAAGGATTGCAATTTAATGTTGCCCTGATGGAAGGAGCTATCGGTGTCACTATCCACTCCAATGGATTGATAATCATAAAATGAAATCATCCTAAGTGATTTACTGATGCACTGTGATTAAAATTAAATCCAGCCAATCAGGAACACGGTACAAATGTTACCGTAAGATAAAAAATGAATGATCATTGCATCTTGTCTCTTAGATTCACTGTTAGCCCATTATTTGGTGGCATTGTCGATTAACATGATAACGATGAGCGTCAGTCATGTTTATCTTACAGCCAACATGCCTAGGCATAGATAGTCAATCTTTATATCAAATTACTAACAAATAATGACAAGATAAGTATCTTGTTCAAATTGGTGAGATCTATTATGTTGAAAAAATCATGAAATGATTAAAAAGAAAGACAAGCAATCAATTGTTTTGATGGTACTAATCAGAAAGAATACCTTTTGACTAGTATTTATAGATTTTCTTTCAAAAGTTAAATTAATTATTTATTATATATCAACTAGGCCTAATCAGTCTTATCATGGTACTATTATACTCAATTAACTGATCATTCCCATCCCTATATAGATTATTATCTACGCATTTATTTGCGAATCTATTTACGACCCCTATTAGCAAATAAAAAATCAATTTTTGTATTATAAGGGAAATTAACAATCGATTGTTATATACGGTAAGTGCAATCTCAAAATTGTTCCTTCACATGTGAGTATTTTCAGGTGTTGCCTATTAGAGTCATTTTTAAGGACGGAAGTATGAGCTCTAAATACGGTAACATTAATAGTTCAGTTGAAATTCTTTTAACTAATATAGCGAGTGCTAAAATGGGAATATACTCTATACACTTGCGTAAGGAAGAAAGATCAGTTTGATTATGATAATGCTACGTGCTTTATTAGGTACCCCTTAGTAAACAGCTTTCAGATTCTTGCCAACATAAATCAATTCAACAAGCAAATAGTTCGTAATACGTTGGATTAAATGGGAATTCCATTCGTCATCATATGCAGATTTAAATACAATTTTAACTCAATTTAACAATAATAAAATGATGCATTTGATGTGGCTTACAACAATCTAGTCTATATTCCATTAATTTAAAGACAGCAGTATTGTTCATGATAATTAATACAAACAATCATACTCCTCATCCTGATATAGCCGTTGATTGAGTTAATATTGTATTGATTGAATATAATTTATTTATGCACTCTAATTTTATTCTGAATTAATATAATCAATATTTCTAATACATTCTTTACCGAATATTTACTACATGAAATGAATAGAGATTATTTTTGTTTGCTATTAGCAATCAACGTTAACAATAGCATTACTGCTTTCTTCAGTCTTATTTGCTAGGGCCATAAGGTAAATATAATCGATCCATCTATAACTTATTATGTAATAGCTTGTTTAGTACCCATTACTAACGTGGATAACATGCAAAGAAACTCTATATCTCCTTACTGATATCAGTTCATTATTATTAGAGCCGTAAATATGCGTCAATAGATAGTTTGGTTATAATGTAGTCGAGAATACATAATAGCTTCTGTCTTTTTGAATGATATTCTTGTAATTGGTATACGAATAGTAAATATAGGATACTAAGGCCTTTACGGGAAAAAGGTACGACGTAAAATCGCATAATTCGTCGATCATCGTCTATTCAAAGATAATATCTTAAAATAAAAGCTAAATGAGAAAGTGCAGAACGATCGAATGTTTGCCCGAAATTAATTCATTAATCAGTGAATTAATTACCGTAATTGGTTAATTAATTGCTAATTGAGAGCGTAGCTTTATCAGCAATAAAAACAAGTTATTTTAAGGCTAGTCTGGAGGCAGTATTAGATCGCGTTATAAGATAAGATCTAAATCTGTTTAATTTTTATTCATGAGCTGAAATTTAAAGAATCGATTATAGTTATCTATAAAAATAGAAATCTGAAGCTTTAATCGCAAACAGAAGGTCTTAAAATATTTTAATACAAGTACAAAATTTGCTGCCCAATAAACCATTAACTGAACTACAAAACTTTAGCTTATAAAAAATGATTCTCAACGTTTAATCTGGAACTTTCTCACCACTGATTAAAACTTTAACGCTAATTTAGCGTGCCGAATTATTTATCTCTTTTAGCAGTTATTGATTACTAGTTTACGATATCGTCAATATGTTGTAATTTGTAGTAATTATAATGATAACGGCATAAAAATAAGCCCAATTTATAACCCGCCTAACCAATAGTCCATAATTTTATAACAAACAAAAACTGATAGTGGAAAGAGAATTAGGTTGCTTAGTAACGGCAAAAATGATTACATAATTTCCAAATCTAAATATGATAAAATTATGTGTTCTAATTAAGCATCAAACATCCATTTCTATCTTATGTTTAATTTCTCCTTAAAATATTAACTTTTTTACATTAATGATTAGAAAGCGTATATACTACCCAATTCTCAAGATTGCAATGTAATCCATTAAAGGACTTTCACTTAGCCATTAATTAATAAAATCTTTCATATTAATAGTCGAAATCAAGTAACAATTCGATTTTCTTTTAATTTGCTAATAATTTAATTAAATCATAAAAAGCAAACAAGTTTTAGGAAGAGATTAAAAACTTGGCTAGAAATAGTATAAATTTTTCATCTAACCGACAAAATAAGAAGTGGAACTATTAGATACATTTTAATTTATCGCTCTTCATTCATATAAAAGGTTTGAACTATTCTATTGCGAAAGTTTATCATTGTTTACTGCATAGTATTCACAGCAATCATGACTCTTTTTTCATAATTTGACTAATATGATCAGAGTAGTGTTACCATTTTCCATGCTATCAATGTAAGTATTGGGTATACAGCAGACAAAGATAATTCTATAGTTTTATCTTCTGCGATTTTGTAATAAACCACACTCCAACCCGAAAACTGAAAAATCATCATTTTTCTTATAAAAAACCTTGCTATTTCTGTATGAAGGTTACACATTTGCTCAAAAAATTAAGAAAATTAATGATCCGTCTTTCAACCCGTCGAAAAATATTGAATTAACATAAGCATTTTATGATATTTTAGTATCCTATTTTCTACTGCTTGTGGGCTTAATAGAATGCAGTCAGTGATAATAAACTTCTATATCTTTCTGACCCGGACTGTTTAGAAAAGGTTTAGGGTCAAATAAATCACAATAAGCCGATTGGAATCTTTTGATTTATTTTTAAATTGCATTTTGACAATAACTAATGATTATATTATTAGATAATTCAACTATAATACGTAGATACCGAATTCCGATTTTAAATGACAGCTTCTTTAATTTTCAAAATATTCACTGTACTAATTGGAGATTGATATTAACGCTAATAAACAGTAATAAAGTAGGTTAATTAGTGACAATCTTATTTCGATTGTGTACGAAAGAATATCGAAACGGATATGTAAATTTGTATGACATTAGTCTTAAATAGACATATAGATATGCTATGTACGTAGGCATCATGAAATGAGCGTTTTCGTTGTTCATTTACATCGACGTCAAGATAAAAATTATGCTCTTGAATTTTATCATTTTGTGGTTTACTCTAATAATTTTCAAAAACTGTCGGTGATCAAATATGAAATTTATATGTGTCCATTTAATTCAACTTTCATAGTTGCATTGGACGTCAAAATTTTCCAATAACTTGTTTATATATTCGTAATGAGATTATTCATAAATGATTAATCGGTTAAAATTATCAAAATATAACTTGCATAATATTTCAAAGTATTTAACCTCAGCGTTACTAATTTAAACAAACTAAATAGTAATTTAATTCGCGTTTAAATGCAAATAAGGGATAGCTGTATACAAATTATTTTATTGTAAAAGCTTAACAGTATTACGCCCTAACTCCAACTGATTAATCATGACTAAATCAATTTTAAATAAGAGATATGGATAATATGTCATTACTTTAAAATGATTACTTGGCCTATTTCAGTATTTCCTTCAATATGCCTGTATTGTCATATGAAGCAACAACGATTAACGACAGCTACCTATCTACTAGACTAATCGTTTATTAGATAAGTCTGCGATATTGTACCATGATGATACCCATGCAAGTATTTATCATACCGCTATAAAACTCATTTTATTACATAAAATAAAACTTTGATATGAACATTGCCTTTAAATTCCTCATATTAAATTAGACCTATTACAGCATATAATTTTAATGATTTAGCTATATTTAAGAAAGGTGATTAAAATAGGCCATGTAAAAACTTGACCTAATAATACATTGTTTCTAATCGGTTGCTAGGATAGTGCCATCGTCAATTTTGCTATCCATGATAGCATAAAAATAGAAGGGTACATTAGAAAATAGTGAGCAGAATAAAACATGTATGAAATTTGATGCTATTTTCTGTATCGCTTTGATCTCAAATTATGGAAATAAAATGTAGATGATGTTTATGACATACTACTGTATAACTAAATTAATGGGATATTATAGAAGAAGAAGTACGATATTTATTTATCGATCATGTTGACTTAAAAGTCGTAGCAATGATAAAAATATTTCCGTTTCTAAGTGTCATTGATTTCAAGATAGATTATCTTACCTGTCACATTTAGGGGCAATTCCAAAGAATTATTTAAGAATGGATTCTTATTGATTGTAGTAGATGTTACCGGTGTGAAGCATTGATAAAGCTGATTTTGATCCAGCATAGCATTAGTCACGACCGGTGCTTTTGTTGAAGGCATGGAGTGATTTAATAATTTGCCATTTAGATTGTTCGCAATATTTTTTGCATCTTTTCTATCAAGACTGCACTGCACATGCGATGTGGACGGATAATCTTGCCTACCACAATCCATTTCGGTACTTTTGTTGTTGTCATTATTAGCAATTAAACGATCAATATTAAATGATGTAGACTTATCTCTGATATTATTAGTAGTTGTAGCCATAATATCTAAGTGTGCAATCAATACAGAGGGAAATAAACGATTTAATAATTCTATTGCTATAAGTAATTGAATGCTATAAGAGTAATAACTATTTTCAAGCAGTAATCAATTCCAATTTGAAACTACAAACAAATTATAATATAAATAATTTATAGACGTAGCAGTAAATTAGGTGATTAATTTAAAGCGATGATAAACTCAATAAGCCGTTAAGTAGGTGATGATTGATATTAATATTGTATTGCTAACATATGATACCGTTAGTGTGAACAGATTGATTTGTTACTACAAATTAAAATTTGATTGCGGTTTATGACTTGACTGGAGTACTGGCTGTAATAGAAGTTAGAAATATAACTAATCAAGAGTGCCAATCTGTCTTGCCTTTTATAGGTTAACAACTAGTCAATTAGCTTTTGAATCGAAAAGAAAGTTAATGCGATAATATCATTATCCCCCGCAATGTTTACTCGTGTAATTTGTTTCGTCTATTGTGAATAAATTGATGATGTATTGTCTAAGCTTTTATACTCAACCAAATTGATTTCACAACAACAAACAATAACAAAATTGTCGGAGATCTAAGGAAAAATATGGGGCTGCAGCAAAATAGCTTGAAAGTAAAAATAAGCCCAAGGCCAAGCACCATTTCTGTTTGCTACCGTAGACATAAACATGACGAAATCAAATTAGTATAAGACAATAACTTATTTCAAACGCTGACTGGCTATTGATGACAAGTGTCCATCATTACTAAAACCAATGCATGAAAATAAGGCTTCGAACAACAAAGGTATAAAAATTGCATGACTATTAGGCAAATAAAAAAATGTTTTCAAACGCTAAAATAGAAATGAAGTACTTATTTAAGCAATCAATGGCAGTGAATAAAAACCAGCTAGGACTGATTGCATAACTTATAATTACAGCTATTTTTATAGCTAATATGTTATCATTCCTTATCAAGATCATATTCAATAGTTGATGATTGATAGTGATATAATATATCCGTTAAGAAAAGCAATGGAGTGTAAAGAAATGATGATAATAGATAAATTTCAGAATTATACATAAAATATCAATCAGCTAATATTGATATAACTAATTCGATCTATTGATCCAGTCCTACGATCAAGTTATGCTTTAATGAATGTTAATAAGATTTAAATTTCATAATTTATCGAATTATCAAATTATTTAATCCGCTTAAAATTTAAATATCTACTTATACTTAATGGAGTGAAAAGCCTAATTTATCAGTAAAGAGTTGAGAAATAGTTGTAGATCCAATAATCTTAAGGAGAGAGTATTTTCTTATCGAATATCTCCTTAATCTAACGAATATATATCGTCTAATAAAGCAAAGAACTGATTTCTTTCCATATCTACAATGAATTAAACTTATTTTAACTATTTCAAGTTACTATTGATTGATTTGCTGATTAATAACTCTAATAGTATCATTGAAAATTTTATTTACCCGATATACAACTCTTTTATCATTGAATAATAGATAATTGATTATTATTTCTATCAGAGACCAAAGGCACTTAATTCGTTCGACAAAGTAATTTACTGTATTTACGATTCCTTTTGATATGATAGGCTGTTTACTTCAAAAAGATTCCTAGTTCAAATGCAAAACGAAATTCTATACTGTAATAAAAATGTTATCTAACACAGTTTTAAAATTTCCATGTTATTATAGTTTGTTATCCCTCATTTTTACTGCTTTAAGTCAATACTATTAGACAGCATTATCACCAGTTATTTTAATATTACAATAATACATATGTATTAATTGAGGTATATGGAAAAGGCTTTGGGGCATTGCGATATTGCAATATTCCTTTTCATAAATCCTGGTTTTATCATATTATAATAGATACTGTAGTTACTCTACATCAAATGCTATACCTGCGTACACGGGCTATAAGAACAATTCTATCAAGATAATACTTGTATACAAGTACTATAATAGGTTTACATATTGCTAGCAATAGATGTAAACATCCATTTTTATGATTTCACGTCACTAGTAGTGTTATTTAAGTATAATAGAAGGAGAAATAGAATAAGTTAATCAAAAGAAAACAATCTGCAGGCTGTGCTTAATCTGTACTAAATATGCTTTACGTAGAAATATTACTTTAACGAATATTATAGTGTAAATCGGTTAAATTACGCCTCATATTCCCCTTCGTCTGCATATTTATCAATTTTTCGCTAAATAGCTTTAAATACTAATACAGTATCAGCTATCTGATAGTATAGTTTAATCTAAACATATAATACAATCATGGTTATGTACTAGAATTATTTTCTTGTTTCCATATTGCTGAGATTATGATCTTCGATCAAACCGTGTATTTCAATCTATTAATTTCGAAATGTAAACAGATCTTTCTTCCCTCGTTTTCTATATCCTATAGACGAAAGGATAAATGGCAATTTCTTCTATTACTATCTATCGACCAATATTAGCAATATCGGGGTGCAAGAACTAGTTTATGCTCATTTTAATATGATTTCATGGAACTTGTATAAATATCAGATCAACCGTTTGTAGTGGAGTATCGAGACAATCTAATTTCGTAAAAGTTTATTAGTATACTTCTCCAATCCTAGATGTTTTCTTCTATCAGTAAATAAATCCATAAAATCTGCTTAAGCATAGATACAGTACGAAAACTTTTCAATAATAGTTCTAATGCTCGGTTGCTTTGTTCATAATGGCATTGCTGTAGGTCATTTTACACGTGTGACGATCGAGTTTATGTTATAAGTTCATATTCTAGTCGAATAGGCAGAAGGTACTTTATCATAGATACTAAAATAAATTACATAATTGATAAAGAGTTGGCACAATTAGTCATTCTTATTCATCAAATATGTCATAAGCAAGCTTAATAGGAGATATTAAACTATTGATGATTATAATAGGTATTGTTTTGGAGCCTATAATCAAGTATTTTTGAATTGAAATTATACAGAAATTATAAGTCTGTTTAGAATAAATTATTTCTAATTAGTTAACAGGACTAATGAAGATCAATTTATGAACAACATCTTGATAGCCAGTGTGAAAAAAAATTATTACAGAACTCGCTGTTAGCTCAGGATTCTAATTCAATAAAAATATCAGTGACAGAACTGTATGCAGTGATACAGTCCATACGCCATATTGTAAATAGTTATCCTTGATTGATTTGAAATCAAGATAGCACCCATTGATGTTATTTAGAGTCTATAATAGTCAATTCTATAACTAAAGTTATAATTCATAAATTAAAAGTGACGTATGCTGAGTGCTATGTCATATCTGATAGAAAGCTGAGGAGTATTTTGAAAAATGATAAATTATATTATCACCATCTCATGGTTCAGATTCAACACATTTAATTCACACAAGATCAAAATAAAATATGAATATTTTGCCTTATAATAAATTTTATAATAATTGCTACTATATAGAACCAAATAAAAAGACGCTCTTTAATATTTTGGTGATAAAAAATTATCACATATTTGAATGCATGTAAGTAATTTATTAAACGGATGGAGTAAAAAAACCTTCCAGTTAAATTTAAATCTATAGAGGATTTCTGGTAGAATTTACGACAGCACCGCCTACACAGATAGCCTGATCCACATCCTTGAGAACTATTTACTCTTAATCATAAATTAATGATATAAGCTGATCAAATTTATGATTTAAATTGCTTGCAATGTAAAAATATTGACTAGATTAGAGTATAAAATTGATATTGATTTGTAACATTTAGTTAGCTAGATAGCTAGGTATAGGTAGACAGAAGGAGGGACAGAGTTGCAAATAGATTCACAAAAGTAGACTTATATAACATATACATATAGATACATGAACGTATAAGATATGTATATAAATTGATAAAGAAGTAAGGTAATACTATAAATGGACAGATGAGGTACTTATATCTGGATAAATTGATAAGTTGCGTTGATTAATGCCAATATCTAATTATAATGAGAAATTGCTAGGATTGACAGTAAACATTTGACTACTTTTGTCAACCAGAATATTCGAGTATTTGATTTCAATATTATAAGGAAAAATACTTTACTAAAGTCCCTTTTATGACAAATCCCAATTTCTACGCCGAAAGATATGTCTTAATCAGCGGAATTTTGACTAAGCTAAGTAAATCTTTGATAATTACTATGCTAAAGGAAACAATTCCTCGCCTTAGATTGATTAAATTATAAGGTAATTAGAAACTATTCCAGTTCCATTTTTAGTTTCGTTAGCTATCGAGTAAAAAGATTGCAAGGTGATTTCTTTCGTTTTTGCTTAAGTTAAAAATGGGGTAAATTCCAACGGATTAGTCATGTACGTCAATATTTTTTGCCCTAATGCCTAAATTATTAACAATATCGGGAAAATTCCCAAAGTACTGATTGACTTACAAGTTTTCAAGGAAAACACAAATGAATGGTTATAATTATTTATATTCATTCATATTTAATAATCTGCATATCGACAAGATTCTAATCAATAAATGATAGATGCTACGTACCCCAGAGCTATCCTATCAATTATCTCTACCCTTAATATGCCTACATGAACACTTCAAGTTATTGAACGCATCGCTTACTTAATCATTATTATTTTATTATATTGTATTTGCCCAACCTTTGATTATTTGTCATCTAAAGGCAAATTACTCTGTCTTCCTTAAAGGGATATTACTACAAATCAATGAAGATGCGACTGTACTTCAACGACATAAAAGCTTTAATTCTCTTTCGATTCGATCCATTGTTATGACCTGATTTGCCAAGCGGCGAGTTAAATACAAAAGTGAGAAAAGAGGCAAAATATTATTACTTCAATCTATCGTTCCTATTTGATTCTTCATGCTAACTGTTATTCTTTGATAACGTAAGAGAGCAGCAGATAATATCCCTTCCTTGGCTGATATTGAATCGATAGGATGGACTTATGACAATAGCGATAGATT